ATAATAAAGTGTTATTTTTTATATTTATTTGCATCAATTGTAAATTTTTTAATAATATTATATTAATATATTAATTTTAACTCAAAAATATTAACTGGTGCATTCAAAAATACACATTTAAAATAAATTTTTTAATAAAAGAATGAAAAAAAATCTAAGATCAATTAATCTGTATGACCTGTAAAAAAATTTAAATTAATATACATTGTGAATCAATCAATTCAAATATAAACAAAATAAAATTAAAAAAACATACTACCTAATGAAGTTAAATATATAGGAGGCTCAATTTTTCCCAAATCAAAAATATCATTCAACCTCTACTTGGCTTTTGGGATTTTGTTTCAGCTTATACACCAGATTTGAGTATTTTTCTATCAATATGCATAAATACTGTTTCTGTGGAAAGGCTTTTTTCTGCAATGGATTTTTTCCACACAAAAGAAAGAAACCATTGGATGTATGTGAATTTTATATTTTATATATATATTTTTTGACTATAATTATTGATCATTTAGTTTTTTCATTATAGTTTGAAAAGGTCTTTGCTATGAGTCAAATGAAAGGAGAGTTTCAGAGATTAGAACAATTAGAAAATATTCAAAATTCAAACAAAAAATTTAAAACTAGAAGTGTTGTAATTCCAATTATTCAAGAACAAACTGATGAATTGTTTATGGTTTCTGATGATGATGATGATAGAAATAGTAATAATCAATGTGTTGAGTTGCATTTATGTTTTAAATTACTAAAAGTGATTTTGGTCAGATCAACAGAAGGTTTAGATCAGAAAAATAGTGATATTAGAGAAGAAGGTGATGATGATAGATGTTCTAACGTATTGAAAGATTCCTTAAATTTGATAGTTGGATGGCCTGTCTTCGATGAGCTTTTCTTACTGAGAGAAGTCGAAAATCTAAAAGAAAATCAAGTTCTCATTAAATTATTGGATGCTTTGGATGAGTGTACGAATGTTTATCCTTAATATTTATATTTTTTTGATAAAATTTACTGATAAATTCTATTTATAGTTGTGGCAGATCTTGTTGAATATTTTACTGATAAAAAAAATATCATTAAACATAAAAAATATGATATAAACCGATCAAACGATTTATCAAAATTCAAGATTAAATTATTGAATCTTGTTTCCTTTGCAACTAAAAAAAACAATCAATCAAAAAAAAAGTACTTTACAAAATTATTATCAGATGACAAATTTATTTATTTAATTGATAAGTTTTCAGAATTCTGGGAAAAAGGTGAATTAGTTGACCTGTTAGAAAATATCTTGAACATAGATCGATCAACAATTTCTTTTATTTCAAATAGCGGATATCTTAATAGATATTATAGAATTCTTTTGATTGTCTTTAATAAATTGTATAATCACCATCAATCCACTGCTTCCATTATAAAACTATCCGATAATTTATATCAAAAGTTGATTTTTATGTGGAAGAATTATCCATCTTCCTTCTCCTCTTCTCACTCTTCAGAACTTGATTTAATATTTTTACAAATAGTAGAAAGTTATATGCCACCTGGACTAACACCATCATCGTCATCAAGTTTGGAACATCTGAATTTACTACAAAAAAATAATAATTATAAAAGGTTGATTGGTGAATTGCCAAAGCAAATAGATATTGAGGTTGTAAAATACATTCTTTCAGATTTGAATACAACAACAAGAACAAAAATCCTGTCATATCTTATCATGAGAAAAGCAGAATTTCGTTTAGAATTTGTTAAGCAAATTTTAAATAATAATCATAATAATAATAATTTATTGAAC